TATATTAAAATTATCAGAATTAGAATATCAAACTATGTGTGAAATGTTTGAGAAATAAAAGATGGAATCCAAAAATAAACAATTAAAAATTATTACATATGATGAGACACATATAGAAACAAACCAATAGAATCTTAGGAGAAAAAATATAACTGCTGAATTAACAACAGATGGGTTACAGCAGAATAGACACAGCGAAAGAAGGCAATAACGTCCTAGAAAAAATCACCCAGAATGTAGCACAGAGAAAAGGAGATGGAAATTATGAAAAAGAGATTAAGAGACAAAGAGGATAGAATGAGAACATCTAATATGAATCAAATCAAAGTTCCAGAAAGAGAAGACAGAGAGTGCAGTATAGACATTAGTCAGAGATCACCACTGATAATTTTCCAAAACTTAGGAAAGACATTATTAATTTGTATATAGAATTGTGGTATAGATATTGGTACAGGAAATATACAAAGAAATCCAGAGGAACCAAATCTACTCTCCTACCTGAAAGAACAACGACAAAAAAGGACAAAGTATGTGAAATCATCTTCAGTACACTAGATATCAGACAATGAAGGGAAGTGATTCCTGAGAGACCAGAAACAAATGAGGTGGGCACTGCGAGCTGTGTGTGTGTGTCCAGTCTCTAGCACAAGGAGAAGAAATCCAGGAGGACCTCAGCGGATTCCATGAGTTAAGGAGACAGAGCTAAGAGACTAGAGGGATGAAAGTGGCCAGAGTCCTGGGGGCAGAGGACCAGAAAGAAGAGAGTGGCACAGGCTCTACAGACAGTCCCCTCAAGTGTTCAGCTAAGCACTGATCAAGGCATCAATGTGAAGAAACTGTATAAGATTACGGACAGAATTACCTGAAAGAACCAGAGGTGAGAGTGCCCAGCTCTCACCAAGGGCTAGATACAGTGCCTCTTCCAAACAACCAGACTATAAAAACTCATCATTAATGGAAGTGGATACCGTGCACAAAAAAGTTTTACCTTGTTATTCAGAATGAATTAGCCCTAGATTGAACATGGCTCTAGTCCCACCTACAGACCTAAAAGGATCAAACTCTTTTTAAATAACTTGATTGCGTCCCAAAATATAGTTTCCAGTAAGGTAGAATTCACGATGTCTGCCAACCAATCAAAATAACTGCTATAGTTTGAATGTTTATCCCCTCCAAAACTCAAGTCGAAACTTAATCATCATCGTGACAGTATTAAGAAGTAGTGCTTTTAAGGGACATGCAGGTCATGAGGGCTTCCCCCTCCTGAATGCACTAATGCTGTCATCGCAGGAGGGGGTTCCTTATTACCATGGCAATGAGTTCTCCCCCTCTTGCTCTCTCTCAAATCGGGCAAACTGATACTCTTAATTCCCATTTAAAAGAAACTGATATTATTAGGGAGATCTAATAATTTGCCAGCAGTTCCACAGCAAGTGAGCTACAGGTACGTAATTTGAACCCAAGTAGTCTCATTCTACTATTCCTTTCAGCTTTTTGGGAAGTACAATAGTCATAAAAATAATTACAGTAAAAATAGTATTTATCATCATTGAGGATAATTATATTTATTATCTACTTCTATGTTCTTGTTTAAA